CACAAGAATTAGCCAGGTGTGGTGGTGCAGGCCTGTCATCCCAGCTACTTGGGAAGCTGAGGCAGGACTCTTTTGAACCTGGGAGGGAGAGGTTGCAGTGAGCCTAGATTACGCCACTGCACTCTAACCTGGGCAACAGAGCAAGACTCCATCTCAAAAAAAAAAAAAAAAAAAAAAAGAAAAGAAAGTTCAGGAAGAGATGATAAGGTACTCCTTAACACAACAGAGGTGCTTCAGGTCCCACTGTCTCTCCCAGCCTACTCACTGCCTTCCTGCCCAGCTTTAGCCTGGGTGAGGTGTTTCCTGGGGGCTGTAGCTCAATTCCAAGGAATCGAGAGAAGAATGCCTTTATTTTTCACATGAATGTGATTTTTTATACAGGCTGTGGTCTCTACAAGGATGCCTGATGGAAATCTAGTCTGAATACCTTTCCAATTTGGCAGGTACAGCGGTGGCAATGGGCTGCTTCTACCCTGGCATGGGTCTGCATCAGCCCAGGACTCAATCCAGAGGAAGGGGTGCTTATTTTTTGATCAAGGATACCACATGGGCTAGTGGTAGCTCTAGGTGGTCAGTGGGAAGGAGGTGGTCAGAAGGAGTGACCCATTGGTCACCTATGTACCTCTGTCCTAGCAAACCATGTGGCAGAGTGGGATGAGGGTGGTAAAAGAAGCAGGGATTTTATCTCACAATCTATGGCATTTACTCTCCTCCTGCCTTGATCCTTATTATCACCGTGTGTCCTGTCTCTTCCTGCAGAAGACTTGTGTCTTACTCAGCTTTGTGTTCCCTACAGCCCCTAGAACACAGTAAGTCCTCTTGCAATAAACATATGCTGAGTGAAAAGTGAATTAGCAAGCTTGTCATGCCTGCCTATTGTTATCTGTTGCCTGTGGAAAAAAATATGTAAGAAATGCATTATTTTTATTATAATTCATACTAAATTTACTCTTTTTAAAAATCCATTTTGGACAATTTTTTGAGGCTAAATTGTGTGGCATTCAAAAAAAGTGAAAACAAAGCCTTGCCAACAGTCTGAATGCATGCTAACATCAAGAATCGTTACCTAATGATTTTAAAGCATCTGGCTGAGTTGATTGGGTTAGAATTGGAATCCACCCCCTTTCCTTGCGGACGGATGCATGTGGGTACACACGTGTAATTACTGTCACAGAGTGACATGTACATTCATGAACAGAATGTGTTGGACAGAAATGTTTCACTAGCATCCTGAAGAAACAAAGGAAAATCACTAAATGCAAGAATATAATTGCTTTATCAATTTTGGATCAGCATTTCAACTTCCAAAAAGGCATGAAATATATTATATTTCCACTATTATACATTTTATCTTAAGAACAGTTCCAAATCAAATTAAGCATCCCCTGAATTGAGATAGAAAGACAGCAGTTACAATCTATGGTGGCAAGTATGGAAGAAGAGCTGTTTTTCTTTAAACAGTAGAATAAAAGGCCTTTTAGAGATAATCCAAAGGACAAAGTGTTGAGGTAAATAACAAACTTCTCTTCTGACCTGTTTTCAATGCACAATTTAGACGGATCTATTCTATTCTAAAAAATATTAGAGAAAAAATATGACATGATGCCACAAAATGTCCATGTGGTAAGCATCAAACACAATAATCATTCTCTTAAAAAATCCAACCCACATATATAAATCTTCACAAAAATAAATTCAGCAAGTTTTGAAAAACATTTATTCCATTACTATCCACTGCAAATAACTGTCTTCAATGAATTGAAACACATTTAAATTTTCGAATGCAACAGAACTTCATTATAGCAGAGCTTGTTGTTGTCCAGATTCAAATATAAACAATGAAAATTATGTCTTCTAAAATTGTTTTCGTTGAAACATAGCAGCAGAACTCATGTTTTCTTTCCTACTCAGCTCCCCTGCAAAGGGGTTTTCTAAGGAACCCAGGGCCAAGACAAAGGAATAGGGAGGAAGTCTAGCACAATGGGAAGCCCCTGAAGGGTTTAAGCAGAAGACAATAACAGACGCTGAGAAGTGGCAGCAGGGAGTGGAGGAAAGAAAGCCTGAAATTTACCCTGCTTTCTGCTCTGCACATGGAAGGCCCCATCCATATGTCCATTGTCACCCAAGGCGTTTTGACAAGTCTAGAGTGAGGTAAGAGAATGGCATTTATTGAGGTCTAATACTGAGGCCTGGGGCTGGGGTGTACATCAGAAGACATTCATAGACAAAGCTGAACAAAGGGTCATACCCACTGGCACCTGCTGGGCACTTCTCTAAAACTGGCACTGGGACATCATTAGAATGAATTAGAACTAGGGCACCAGTTAACCCAGGCCTACACACTAGTGAAAGGAAAATTGAGCCTCTCCCCGACCCTGCTCCAGACAACTGAATGGTGACTTCAAGAACAAATATTCTAAGGATCTTAATTAGAAGGGGAGTGATACTGTAGACCAGACCATGCTCTATCACGTAGAAGATGTATTGTTGGCAAAGTTGTTGAGCATCTTATGGCCTCATTTTCCTCATCCGTAAACTAGTGCTTGTCACACAAGTCTGTTATGAGGATTATTACAACAATGCCTAGGCAGATGACAACTATTATGTAGCAAATCTGTAGTGAGAAATTAACCCAGAATATGCAGCACAAAATGCCTCCTTAACTTCACAGACATGTTAGGAAAAGAGTTAGAAGAGAGGGAAAGAGGAGATACTGCCCATCATAGAGAGATCCCCACTCCCATCCACCTCTGTTGGCTATCAAGGTAAGATAGATCTGCTCACAAAGCTGGAAGTTTTGAAAAGGTGAAGAATGTCTAAACATAATGCACATACAAACAATATTATTTAATAATTTTAGTGCTTCCATCATTTGATGCCTAGGGTGAACTTCCATTTGAGTAGAGGTTCTGGTTAGGTTAGTATCACCTCAAAATTTACCTAATTTAGCCTTCTCATCGACCTCTCAAAGTAGGGCCTGCATATTTGGATATTACTAACCTGTAACCAAAACCAGGAGATGTTATAGTTCATACATATTTTACACAGATAGAGATTCGACCTCAGTTTCTGCAGAATAAGGTCATAGCACACTTAGTATTTAATGTAATTTAAAGACATGTATGCAAAGAGAAAACATGGCAGAATTTCCCCTCACTGCCCCTTAGCATGAAAGCATACAACACTAATGATAACTTTATTATCCTATTTTTGAATACCACCAGTAATCTGAATACTTATATTCTGATATAAATAGGTCGAATATAACTGGCCACAATAGAAGCCAACTATTAAAACATAATTATAAAATATTAAGTCCCTTCTGAAGAAGCAAAAAATATTAGAGAAATATTAGAGAAAAAATATTTGCAGCTTGGCGCGGTGGCTCATGCCTGTAATTCCAGCACTTTGGGAGGCCAGGGCAGGTAGATCACCTGAGGTCAGGAGTTCAAGACCAGCCTGACCAATATGGTGAAACCCCGTCTCTCCTAAAAATACAAAAATTAGCTGGGTGTGGTGGCAGACGCCTGTAATCCCAGCTTGAACCCAGGAGGCGGAGGTTGCAGTGAGTCGAAATCTGCACTTGGCGACAGCCTGGATGACACAGTGAGATTCCATCTCAAAAAAAAAAAAAAAAAAGGCATTAGCTTTACATATTATTATTTACCAAAAATACACAGATACATAATGCTTAACAGTACAAAAATAATTATATTTATATCAGTCATCATCACCCTTTAGATTTGCCATCTACAGGAGAAGTAAGAAAATGTTGGTTCTTCCCTTTATAGATGATAATCTAGCAAAACAAAACAAAACAAAAAAGAGCACTCTCATAGTTGTATTGAAGTGATATTTCTATTTGGTAATAAAAATTCAGTACCTTTTAGGGCTAGAGTGAATATACCCACCAATGTTCCCAATTTTATACACAAAAGTAAATATTAGAGTTTAAATCATAAGGGAAAGATCCACTTTTCCTCAAGGTACCATTTAATGTACGTAATTATTAAAACCTATAATTTCACATCAATAAAACTAAGGAAAATTCGAAATTTTGGATAGGTTTTTAGTGCATGCTACTTACATTTTACATTTCTTTTCCTTCTAGGTGCTAAAAAGTTTTTCTTTCTAGGTATGACCATATGTTTATAGTCACCTATCAGCAAAGGTTGAAGGGCTGGGAATTAGGAAACACGTGATTCTGCTTTTAATTTTGACCCTGATTCTATGACCTTCGACATGTTATTTATCTAATAAAAGAAGAACACTATTTCCCATCCCCAAACTGCCTCGTCTCTTCAGGCAAGCCAGTCTTTGGTTTTCTAAACCACTGGGAGGAACCATCATCACATAGGAAAAGCAGAACACTGGGTAATAAATTGTTCTATGTAACTCTTTGGCATACATTATTTAAGTTTTGCCAATAGATTCACCTTGTTAGTTATGTTCTGGTCAAGCCAATGTCAAGAGTATTCATAAAAACACACACTGGGTGACTGGCAGGAGAAGCTGATGTAGAGCCGAAAAATAACTGGGGATTAGAAAGTGATAAATCAATATAAAAACGATCAAGTTGTCTACTGTGAAATTAATGAAGCAATATCAAAGTGCTTTGTTTGGCTTAGAGGAAAACCAGTAGAAACTATATGACTAGACAATTCTTGTAAACCAGGAATAAACAATAGCCACACACCAGATTATAATCACTGAGATTAAGGACAGTGGTCTAAGGCATTAAAGGTATGCACAGCATCACTTCATTTGGAACTACCACTTTAAAAAGAAGTGTGTACCTCACTGAGCATCACAGATTTCACCTTCAGAGTCTTCAAAATGCCCATCTGTTCATGGAGCTGTCTGGTACAGACCCTGGGTTTCTGCCTTTTATAAAACGGTGGTCTAAGTCCGACAACAGTGGAGCAGAAAAACCCATACATCACCTTCCCTCCCACAGACAAAGTTTAACCATACAGTAGTAAAAATGTGACTGTGAAGGGGCAAGTATATTTTAGAGGACAGAGAAAGTCTTACAAGCCGTGTTTTTAGAAAGGGTGGGAAATCACCACCCTTCTTTGACCAGACAGGCAGGGCTTTGTGTAGGAGGGTGCGGCTGTCAGAAACTGTCTGAATGATGGAAGGCAGCAGCTTAGCAGGCTACTGGGAAGAGCGACTCCAACTGCACGGCTCAGCTTAGGAGGCAGAAGTGAGGTCAAGAGTAATGATCTTTGCAGACGTCTGTAGGGGTGAGATCACTCTGAAAAGCTCAAGGAAACAGAAGTGGAGGGTCATGATTCTGACCCTCAGTGTTAGCTGTGGAGAAACTCAAGCTCATGGTCAGGTAAGCCCTGCTCCACCCAGTAATGGCCTCAGTGATCCACTTGCATGTTTGACCTATTTCTTTCTCATTTATGAGGTACACATGATACTGCCCTTTACATAAGGTTGTTTCATGATCTTAAAGGAGATTATGTGGATGAAAGGGCTTTATATTCCCAGGGTGCTAATATTAGATTCTCAGGGCTCCATCAGTGTAAGAATCAGACAAATAAGAGGGTGAGTGGTCCCTGGTCAGCCCATCGCCCTTAAAGAAACACACTGGTACCTTCCCTCATTGTAATAGCCTGCTGGGCTTTCAGTTTTGGGTTTAGGGATATGCCAGAGTGTCCTGCTCTTTAAGTGGCCATTCATCAACTCCAGGAATGTGCTGGTGGTTTGCCTGAGTCTTATCCAAATGCCACTCTGGACTCTGGATAAATACAGGATGGGTGGCAACTGTGGTCACATTACTACTCCACCCTACCACAAGCCTTATTTTTCACCTTCTTTGCTCCCCAAGGGAGTTCCCCCTTTTCTTATCCTTTAAAATTATTTTTAAATATTTACTTGTCTATGAATTCTTATATCCTTACCTTGGTGTATGATTATCTCATATATAATTTAAATTTTCTGTTCATTACAACAAGGGGTAGCAGAAGTGTAAGGGAAGGGATGACTGGGCAATTCCAGTAGTGAGAAATGTGTTAGGAGAAATGCTGAATACAGAATAAGCACAGCAATATACTCTCATTTGGCTTTATAACTACTCTTCCAGAGGAGGAAACTGAAATTTATCAGGGCAGGTAACAGCAGAGTAACGATAGTAACAGTAACGGTGATTATTGCTGGTCATGTGATAAAACCAAGGTTGGAACTCTGATCTGGTGCTAAGTCAGTGATTTCCAACAGAAATGCAATGCAAACCCACATGCAATGTTAAATTTTTAAGTAGCAACATTAAAATAACCAACAAGAAGCAGGTGAAATTAATTTTAATCATCTCTGTTGTTTAACCCAATATGCCAAAAAATCATTTCAACAGTTAATAAACATAAAAAATATTAGTGAGACATTTAACATTTTTTGTACCAAATAGAATCCAGTGTGTATTTTACAGCAAATCTACATTTGGACTAGCTACATCCAAGTGCACAACAGCTACTTAGTGGCTAGTGGCTCCCTTACTGGACAGGGTAGCTCTAGATGGTTCCTGAGTATTCTTGTGCCATAAGCCCTTTTGGCAATCTAGAGAAGCCCATGAATTCCTTCTCAGAATAATGTGTTTACATGATTAAAATGTAAGACACAGGATGACAAAGAAAGCAATTATTTTGAAACACAGTTATTCAATTATTTAAAAAAACGCAAAATTATGATATTGTGTATACCTGCTTCTTTAAATAGCACCTTAAATAACATTATCCAGAGGCAGTTATAATAATTATAAGCAATTTTAAATAAAATAATGATCATAAATAATATTTCAATATGCTTAAAGCAACTCTAATGATGATGAAAATATCTGTGACTTCAACTGGTAGCAAATTAACTTTGAGTTGTGCAGTTAACTTGGTAGGTCAAACCAAGATACTTTTCTAATGACACAGAATAGGAGGGAATACATTAGAGGGCATGATTCACAGTCAGGGTGAGTACCATTTCATGAAACTTCTGTTAAATATGTATGTATACATACACACAGTTAAATACTGGGTTGCAATGTAAAATGTACTTTATATTGTGAGTCATGGTTTTAAAAAGTTTGAAATCCTCATACACTGCTAGTGAGAAATCAAAATGGTTTAACTACTATGGAAAGAATTTGATGGTTCCTCAAAGAGTTAAACATAGAATTACCATATGACCCTGTAATTTCACTCCTGTACATGTGCCCCAAAGGAATGAAAACAAGTTATTAAACATGTATATGTACATGCATGTTCATAGCAGCACTATGCATAACAGCTGAAAGTCTTCAATGTCCATCAATGGATCAATGAATAAACAAAAGGTGGTATGTACATGTAATGGGATATTACTAATCCATAAAAAGGAATGGAGTTTGGGAGCATGCTACAACATGGATGAACCCCAAAAATGTTATGCTAATTTAAGAAGGCCAGACACAAAAGGGTCACATATGGTTTGATTCTATTTATAAGAAATATCCAGAATAGGTACATCCATAGAGACAGAACACAGATAGGCTATTGCCAGGGGGTATGGGGAGTGGAGAAAAGGGAGAATCTGCTTAACGGTGAAGGGGTTTTTACTTTGGAGTGATGGAAACGTGATGGATCTAGATAGAAAAGGCGGTTGTGTAACACTGCGAATGTACAAAATGCCACAGAAAGGTCACCTTAAAATGGTTAATTATATGTTGTTTCACTGCAATAAATTATTATTTTTTAAAGTTTAACACCTTTGCCCTAGAGGGTCTTTCTGTTTGGAGTGTACTCATTTGTGGTGCTACTACATCCCCACCTAGTGGTGGAGACACCTTCTGTCTGGGCTCCAGGACTGGAGATGCCCGACTGCTAGAGACCACTTTCACATCACAGCGGGAGTTCAAGATCTGAGGCCATGCCTAGGCCCATGCCTACCTGGGATGAATATTTCGTGTGTAGACATTGACAGTGATAACCGCCAGCCACCCTGAGCTTCAGGCAGGAAAGAAAAATGCTTTCTAGTCCTGGCGCTCATATATTTCTCAAGTTATGGAACCTCTATGGGATTGATTTATACAATCTATAAAATCTATAAATCAATCCCATAAAGGATTTTTAACTATATTTTTAAATATAGTTTAGCTTATATAGTTATATATAAATAACTATATGGTTAAAATAGAGTTTAACTATGTAGTTTAACTGTATTTTAAGCTATTCATAAGTGCAACTCAGAACTCATGTTAAATTAAAAAGAGGGTGACGTAAGAGGCTTCCTTTAAGCAAAGAAGCTTCCTTTGATTGCCTGTAAGATCAAAACAATACTCCCTACCACAGGGCTGTGGTAAAGGTTAATATAAGTTGGCATAAGAAGTGCATCTAATACCAGTAGATGTTCATAAAATATTCATTTTGTTCCTCATCCTGCCTGATTTCTAAAGATACTTGGTATGAACTTATGTACCCCAAACAAGTTGTTGTTTCCAAAAGGGCTCCCCCCAAACTTCTGACTGTCATTGGAAGAAAGAAAAAGACTGTGGGCGTCTGGAAAAAAAGTGGCAGAGATCTGAAGTTAATATAAAAAGAAGACAGAGCACAAGTAGAGAACACAGGGCAGAAACTCAATATGAAACAAAGCCAAGCGACAAAACAGCAGCAGGGACCTGGTGAGCACCAGGTGTACAGAGGGGAGGAAAGAGAGAGGGGAAGGAAGCGTCCAGCAGACATTCCAGTTATTGCCACGAATGCTGCCTGAAGGTGACAGAGACAGACAGACAGACACACACACACAGAGCGAGAGCGAGAGAGAGAGAGAGAGAGAGAGAGAGAGGATGCCAAGAATTGCATACAGCAAAAATATTTGGATATTTTTGCAAGTGGGCTTGCATGAAAGATTCCAACTTTATAACATGTTCTATAAAAATGAAATGGAAGGCTCTAAACTGTGAGACATAGTTATAAAAAAAACAACCAGAAAAGACAGATATCAAATCATGGAATTTTCAAATGATGAGGCCAAAGGCAGGAAACAAATCATGAAATTAATTTGAAATCAAATAGTGTAAAATTACCAGAGCAGAAAACACTTGCTCCCACATCAGAGTATTCGAGATCTGTCGGAAATTCTATAACGTGGTACAATTTGGCATTGGAAAAACATGGGGAACAAAATCAAAACACCATTCTTACATGCTTCTAAGAATACTGGCAGGGCCAATGGGGCAGGTGGTGAGTTGAAAACCCCACAGGCAAGTCGGAGAAGCAGGCCTCCCCACTAGGCCTTCCTGAGCCCAGCAAGCATCCCTCACTGCCACAGTCATTTCTGCCCTGTCCACTCCACAGCCTTCCTGCTTCTCTCCTCCCATCTTGCTCTCAGGGATGACCCTGCCTCCTACATGGCACCAGACAGAAAGTCTCATTTTTCTGCTGTCAAATCCACAAAGCCACCTTTGCCCCCTCTCCTGACCCTGTTTCCACCTCATGCCCAAGAGTCTCACTCCTATGGGTCTCTTACATCTTAACCTTTCCCTTTCTATGATATCTTTCTTGCCTTAATGAAAACATAGCCAATACCT